GCTGTAGCAGCGCTATAGCGCTGCTATAGCGCTGCACAGCAAAAACGCATAAAAACGCATATTGACAAAAGGGCTGTGTATGCTTGTGGCTGTGTGCTCGCACTGTTTGTCATCCATTTTCAACTCGAGGACCAGAAAAGCTAGAAAAATGGAACTTCGCTAGTATGTGCCTACACCATGTGCGATCCTTCATCCGCGTAAGGCCTGGGTCTCTCGTACGGGCGCTCTAACGGAATATGTAAGTTTTTGGGGTGAAAGTGACGTCGGAATTAGACAAGATAGAGAGCTAAAACTCTGCACGGATATTTTCTGTGCATGTGTGAGCTAAAGATTTCAAATTCAGCCCGTAGGTGTCTGTGGTTCACAAATGCGAGCATGTGAAAAAATTGGCGGGAAAATTGTTAATTCGGTAACCAGAAAAGCTGGGAGGCTGAAACTGTAAGGAAATGATGTTCGCCAACGCGTAGTTTGAAGACTTCAAATTCAGCCTTTCAAGTACGTGGGGTGCCCAGTACGGACATGTGAAGGTTTTGGCGGGAAAATTGCTCACTGAATGGCTAGGTTACTTCAAAAAACGACCGCTAAACGGAAATTGTTCATTTCCTTTATGCAAAATTTATGGTGATTTACGCTAGTAAGCGCAAGAGTTAGGTGCAAAGCAACAACCATTTTTGCAGTTAACGATCTGGGCACTTCGAGTCTAGTACAAGAATGCATAATCACACCGGCAAGCTTAATGTGTTCCTACCTGGGTTATGCATTTCTAAATGTGCATTCAAATGCAAGTACTTGTATTAAAAAACGGTTGCCTGTATGTGTATGTGTCTGTGTGTCTTTGTGTTCGCATTTTTCCGCCAACTTTCAGCTAATTATTCTGAAAAGCCGGGCAGATGAAACTGTGGAAGCATATTCCCACATTTTCCACTCTTCCATTCTGAAATCAACGCTCATATGCGCCAAATCTTTAAAATGCGAATATTTGACAGTAAAAGATTTCTGGAACCGGCAAACGTAGGAAGCAGGAACTTTGCAAGGACATTTTCTGTGCGTTTGTAAGCTAAAGATTTCAAATTCAGCTATCGTGCAAGCTTGCATCGCAGTTACAGTCACATCAAAGTTCACAGCTGGCATGATGCCAACTCGAAGATTAGCTGGAAAGCAGTGGCTGCAATTTTGTCGGAATGTTTATTGTTCATTTGGTAAATCGTATACCTAAATAGAGTTTCCAATTATACTCGCGCAATCTTGAGGGCACGTCAAAGATATTTGTAGAGAAGTGGCAATTTCGGTACAGGACAAGCTGCGAAGTTGAAATTTTGAAAGAATAATCTATATTCAGGTGTGGCCCAAACTCAACCTGCATACAAGCACGAGAAATGTTGAGTTCTATCTCAACTCCAAAAGCGAGTGCATTTCGCTCTGATTTCGTCATCTTTTTCTTTTGACATCCTGTTCATTGTTCAGTGTGCGTTTTCATAGAATGGTCAGTCATCGGAAATTATTCGTTCACCTTCATGAAAGATTTGCGGAAATCATGCGCGCTGGCGGTTAAGATTTCATGCGGTCCCATGATGCGATGCCACCGTTCCAGGTGATGCCCCTTTTCTTCCGCATGTAAGAAAAAAGCATAATGCAGCTAGCATGAGGGCACATGTTAACATGCAATCTGCGTTGCTGGTCCCTATCAGTAGTAAATTTCTTTGTTCTGAAAGATTAATTAGTCGCCTTCCAACTTTCCGCTCAAAAATATTTACAAAATATACCGAAATTTGCTTGCTTGTGACAGAAAATATAGGCAAGCAGCAAAGGTGAAGATCGAACACGTCATCTGGTAAGACGCATTGATGCTGGTCATACAGTGAACATGGATGGCCAAAAGGTAAAATCGTTTCTGAAATTTCCCATGGCCTAAAATTATTCTAAAGGCCTAATCTTTGGAAAATGCGTATGAGCACAATGCAGGAAGGGCCTACAACTGAGCTTGCTGAGCTTTTTTGCATGAGTGATTCAAACTAAAAATTTGGCAACCTAGCTACCTTTGGTTCAAAGTGGTCCCAAAACTTACCATCATTTTTGCCCTGGTTCATGCCATAACTTTGAGTTATAGCATACTAAATATTTGAAATTTTGACGAACTGAAACAAAAAACGAATGTCCTTTATCTGTTTTTAAGCTTATTTGCTTTGCAACCCCAGTTTCAGATTCATTTCCCCTTGTAAGTGTAAAGTAGGGCAAACCAAAAAACTGAAATCATGGCAGTTACAAAAATTTGGCTCGGCTTGTCTCATACACGAACCGCAAAAAATTTTTTCTTCCGACGGCAGGTAGGGCTGCCCCACGGCGGATGGTGGCAGTTTGAATGTGGCAGGTGGTATGTGGCGGGTTTCGTTCAAGGCAGGGAAGGGAGGCTAGGATAGATAGATATAAGGATTAAATGGCGTAGATCCTTTGCCGATTGACTAAGTAATGTACATTTGGAGAGAGGGGAGCGGTGAAGGACGGAAAGGATGAGGAAGTGTGCTCCTGGGATTTCCCTATTTTATGTAAATGATGTTTAGTTAAAGTTGCTGTACAAAAAACCGTCATCAGACCTTCCTATTTATGAAACTGATGCTTAAGAAAAGCTGTTCCACAAAAACTCGTCATCAGACTTTCCTGTTTATGAAACTGATGCTTAGGTAAAGTTGTTCAACAAGAACTCGCCATCAGACTTACCTATTTCTGAAAGTGATGCTTAAGTAAAGCTGAGAGCGAATAAGTCCCATGAAGTGGACAAAAACAGGGTAGAATGGATGCCTGGGGGTTAAGTCAGCCTTTGCTCCTGTGAGATTTTGAAGACAAAAAAACAAAGGTGTAACTGTTGTGCACATTTGCAGGCTGCAAGAGGCAACACTGTGGAATTGTCTGGAATTCTTGTGTAAATCCAATCGAACTTATTTCCCCTCAGCTTCACCTAAGCATACGTTTCTGTAAATCCTGTCAAACTTATTTGCTTTCAGCTTCACCGAAGCATAAACCTCATAAATGCGGGGACAGCCTATTGAAGACGAGTTTTTGTAAGACAAATCCCACTCGGATAAGCTCAGTTTTTTGTTTACTTTTGCTTTTTTTTGCTTTCGGTTACAGGCTTCATTTCTTTGATTTTGCTTCTTCCTTTTATTTACAAAAGCAGGTTTGTTTTAATTTACTTTTTTTTGTAGTGCCGTATTGGTTTATTTTCCTCTCTACTGCTATCTGCAGTTCTTGCTTCACACCCCTGACTAGCACCCTTCTTCCCCTCTTGTATCCTTCCCCCAACCCTGCCTCCAAAGCCGCATCGGAGCACTTACCACCTCCAACCACTGTCACGGTTTATCGTCCTGAACTCCTAATCAGCAACTTCATTGCCTCTTATTATCCTGGCCTCAACGCGTCCCCTGAACTGTATCTAGGCAACTATCAACCAACGCTTCCCCTCTCCCCAACCAGGCCCAATCCTCCACCCATCACCCCTGCGGACACGTAATCCAGCCGACAGACACTGGGTAGCGCTACCCAGCTCATCTGGCAAAGTTCCTGCGAGCGGTGCCGCGAAGTAGTATTAGCAGAGATGATAGAGCAAAGCGTTGGAAGGTCCAAGATCATCAGCCGAGCCGAACTGAGTTTTTGTAATTGCCTGAAATCATTATGATTTGCAGTGGCTTACTGGGTTAGAAAGACACACTGTATTCACCCAGCCGCACTTATTCAATTTGTGTCTCCGAAATCTAATTGTAGTGGTGCATAACCAAGCTAATCTTTTAATATACGCCGTTATTTTTAAGTAAATATGTGGTAAAAGAATTTGTTCAGTTGATTTTGTAGGGCCCCTATTAAATCTATCATGAAGTATTAATACCAGGACAGTTTGCCGACATGCCTTGCAAATTCCGTTTTCAAAGCGTTAAAAAATATTAGTGACAGGTGGTGATCGCTTTGTAGTCATTGACTGCGAGTCCTAGAATTAATGTGCATTTTGTAGAACGTTCTATGCTCCTGAACCAACCATTACGCATTAAAACATATTCAGTAATTCGTGCATGCAAGACAAAAAAGAACCGTTGAAATTACAGGGAGTGCAGTGAACAAATAAATTTTTATCTGAAACAAATGTTGCATCATATGTAAAGCAGCAGTACCGACTACTAACTTTAAGGTGGGCTATATAGTAATGGAACATCTGCCAGGCAATCCAGTTGGTATTATTGGAGAGCTGCGAGGAAATAAGCGTGTGGCTAAGATTGCCGAATTTGGTCTTCAGCTTTTGAAGGTATGCAAAAAAAGTTATGTGACTAAACAAGTGATCTGGCTGAGCTGATCTAGCCTAGTCCCCATGAGTAAGAGGCATGCAGATGCTACGATTCCTATTCCTGCCTCACTCACTTCTGTGTTATGGCAGCTTATGTGGCACAAAACTTACTGACATCAGGATCAATTCCATTTGGCGGCAATATTTTAGCAGAGCTGAGCATGCACGCAAGCTTTATTTTGACAGTTCAAGATTTTTCTAGTTTCATGTACTTAGTGAAAGCTTTTACCTTAATTAATTCTGTGAAGCATTTTTCGCCTGAGTCATCCATCCAGATCTCGTAGAAACCTGATTCCGATCTAGGTTTGTCAACTTTAGAATATATTAGATTTGATTTTTGACAATTCTTAGGCTGTGTACGATCTGCATTATCTCGGTATTGTGCATCGCGATATAAAACCGGAAAATGTTGGACTTTATCAGAATAGTATTTTGGTACTCTATGATCTTGGTTTAGCACGAATATTCACTGAACTGAGCGGTCAAATTAGAAAACCACGGTGCATGTGTGGCATGCGTGGTACCGACGAATGGGCGAGTCTATCCGCTGAACTTGGAAGAGATCAAGTGAGTTAAGCCACTTTTCTGCTCAGTTTATCATATAATACCAAATATGTTAAATCCAGGATACCAGAAGCCAAACAAGATACGAGGCTAAAATTTCATAGGGCTGTTCTATGTTCTCTTGTGAGCCAAAAATTTCAAACTCAGCTTTGAAATATGCCTACGTCACGAATAGGAATACATCAAATTTGTGACTTTGCCATCGTTGGCAAATTGCTAGTTCGGGAACTAAACTGTTTAGAGCAATATAACTTTGCGAAGATATTCGTCGTTCAAACTTAGTTGGCGCCTTTGTGTGACGAAAAGCGATTTCGACAGTTAGTTGAGTTAGTGAGCTGAAATTTTGCTAGGATATCTTATGCTTATGAGCGAGCAAAATGTTTCAAACTTAGTTTCAGAGTTTTGGCACGCGCGATTGAAAATTTGTTTGGGGCGCTGCTGGCATTTAGTTAAAATCAGACTGTGCAGGAAGTAGTATTTTTTCGAAAATATTTGCTGTTCATATGCAAACCAGTATATGTTAGATGAGCTAGTGCCTAAGTATAGACCACACGTGTAGGCGCATTAAATCTATAAGTTGCAGCATCGCAACCATACCCCAGTAGGGGATGGGAGATTTAGCTGTATTTCTTAAATACCTTTTCCTCTTAGCCTACTTACTGCCAAAGCAAACAAAGACTGACCTAAAAGGCGATTGACAAAAATAATTCAAAACCTGGTTTTGAAAAACTGTTTTTTGCGAGCAATCGGGATATTTTTCCTGCCTTCTTCCACTTTGGCGCAGTAGAAGCAATTAAGGAGAACCCAGGCTGGAACGCACCAGGCGGGCCGGTGCGATTATGCGTTTTCGCACTTTTCGTGCCGTAG